ATTATACTCTATTTAAATATTTAATTTTAATTATATATGATTGCTTAGACGCACATCATTACATTATTATAATAATAATATTGATAAAATAAAACAAACTTAATTTTATTTGAAATTGACTTTTCTTGTTTTTACTGGAGCAAAGCTCTGTATAAGTTCTTCCATGTCTATTTTTCAGCAATTTCGTTTTCAGTAGAAAGAGTGGTCAATCCTACCAATCAGTCTTGAGATATACTTCATCGCAAATACATTTTTAATATTTTAAGTTTTGAGAAATTTCTCTCAGCTGTTGCAGCAGTTATTGGTAAAGTCATTAGAATCTTTAGTATCATATAAGTATTAGAATAGGTATAGGTAGTTCTATCAATTTGTTTCTACATACGTACTCATGAACTGATTTCGGATCACACGTTTCAAAAGTAAAATGTTTTTACAAAGAAAAATTTATATTGTTATATAAAACTTATCGCTTATCTGTTGTTGACTATTAACGATATAATAATTAATTTTTTAGAGATGGTGCACGTTAGTGACAATAATAATTAGGCACCTAAATCTATACACGATTACACAATATATACGTACATTGTATACAATTATAATAATATCACAATCTCGTTCTGTTGACAATCAAATATCAATTAAATTGTATTTATTGCTTATTCTAGAAGTATAAAAACCATAATACTATTAGTTTAATATATACAACACAAATTATTTAAAAAATATTATAATTTATAGTAGATATGTATTATAATATAATAATAATACCTATAGTTATTTTTATTGTTATTAGTTCTTATATCTGCTCATAAAATGTTAAGATCTTAATTATTCTAAAACAATTTTTTAAATAATATTCGAAAATATGATGTTCGTTAATTTTTCAATGAAAACGTCTCGTAAACAATCTAGTTAAAATCATTTAGATGACTTCGTTTTCCATCTTGGATGTCTGTTTGATACCAATTGTGTAATTTACCTAGATCAGATAAAAGATACGATCTAACTAAATTTAGCTATAGCAATTACAATGAACATACACGCGATTTACGCGTTGAAAAAACGTTCACAATGGCTGCAATTCGGATTTATATTGGATACAGCATATATAGTAATAACTAATAAGTTTAGACAATATTATTTTATTTTTTAGGTAAGTTGGTTTTTATGGATGAATTTTTTTAAAAATTTTTCTTACATAATAGCAAAATAAAAAAATAAAAAAATGTATGAGTTAATTTTGAAGATGCTGCCTTTGCCGAAGTGCCGCTCTAGGCAGGTGCCTAGCTCGCTTATACCTTGAGTTGGCCCCGAGTGCATTTAAGTTCGAAATTGAGAAAAACTTTTTAATAAAATAATTTAAATACTTTGATTTATCAAACGATACATATAATGACTAAGGCTAGAGATTGCATATTCTAATAAACGTTAAATTATTCATGCATCTATGCCCTTAAAAATTATCATATATGCTCTAAAAATATTCCTAAATACTAAAATATGCTTTTAAAAATATTTAATTTTTCATTAAAAAATCAAAAATTATAAATTTATTTATTTTTAAATTAGGAATTTATAATTTAATTTTCCCAACAAAAAACTGTATCTAGTCAAGAATACGTATTATACTAATTATATATACGTCAGACGAAAACACATACGATATCAACTGACCGTATTCGGCATATTTCTTATCGACCGACTTTATGTTTTTTATTAGTCAAAAAATACACCATAAATAGATTATATTTTAATCATTTTAATATATTTTTTTTCAATTTCTATACAATTAATATTAAATATTATATAATGCATATAAAGTATTATTATTATTTTATATTATTTGTATTATTCGTAATAGTAACTCACTTAAAAATTAAAATATCTTGGGAAAATGCTTTATCTTATGAATACTTCTCTAACTGTTTTTACACAATGAAGATCATATTTTGTTAAACAAGAAGCAGATGTTGTTTTTGCAAATCGAACAATCACGACGAAACTATAACATCGAATATTGATTGTAAATGTAGTTGCGCGGATTTCTATGCACTCGCAGATTTTTTCCTTTTCACTTTTTTGGATTTTTTGTCAATTATCTTCACGAATCAAAATATTGAATATGATGGTAAATTTTTTTTTTGCATATTTCTGTATATTTAATGGTTATTGCATATTTTTATAAAATTCGAAATGTATTGCATATTAAATTATTAAAGCAAAAATTAAAAAAAAAAAAAATGTATAAAATAATATTTTGTCACGTAAAAATATTAAAAATAATTTTGTTGGTATTAAATAATAACCAGAGTGTGGATTAATATGCAATCGCTTGTTATTTTCTTTTTCACTTTTTTGGATTTTTATCAGTTATTTTCACGTATCATAATAATTTGAATATATTGGTGAAATTTTAATTGTATATTTCTACATATTTTTATAAAACTCGAAATGTATTGCATATTAAAGCGAAATTTTTTTATATACTTGGTGTATTTAAATAATTAATTATTATAAGTTGTTTAATTTGTGGATTTTGTATAAACAAAAAGTTTTCTTGTGTATTTGATGCATATTTTTATGATTTTTGCTGAATATTATATGACATACTTCAATATTTTTTAATGCATAAAAATACGTGCTCTAATTATAATAATATTTATTATTATTTTTGAGACTGGAAACAACTGAGAGAATAGAAAAATTTCGTCGAAATTTGGCACAAAAATTTTTGGTGCAAGGCGGGTATGTGTGCAGTTAGTCGTAGAACGTATAGAAACTGCTTCCGTGTTGTTCGGGTGTTGGCCGAACACACAATGAAGCAATTATATATAGGTTATCAATTTCTGGCCCTTCAATGTTTAAAGTTATACTGCCTGTGTTTTAATACAAACAGTTCCTGCCGTACGGCTGAGTTGACGCCGACTACCGCGAGCGCCTTGCATTTGCTTGTCGTCGTTTCAGTCGTATATATACATAGCACATTGGCCTCGGTGATCACAGGGTAGAGCGTAAGCGTTTGAAGTCGGAAACCGCGCTCTGGCGGCGGCGTATGGTCACCGCTGGCAGACTCGGAATCTACCACATTCCGCGTAGAGTGCACTGCCCTTACTAAATATTTAACATGAAAAATAAATAATTTATTATTATCCAATACTCGCTGTTTTGTATACTATTTATCAATTTATGGTTTGTGTTTCAAAATGCCACAAAATTAACATAATAATAAACTAATACATAAATAAAACCGTAAGTTTTTATTTTCACTTGAATTATACGATGTTACTTTTGATCATACAATTTTGTACTATTATGACGAATAACCGAGGATGAATTTTTTATTAAATATTTATGATATTTATTTTTATATTTTTTTAATTCTTAAATAGTATATAAACATTGTAAATATTAACAGTTGAAACTACTTATTTTTAGTTTAAAAATTTAAATATCGAAAAAACGAACGTTTATAAGCACGGATAATGTTCTTACAATCTTACCTTTAACATTAATATAGTATGTTAGTTGATAAGTTTCCCTTAATATTAAAGCTATCAACACTTGATTGTTTTTATCTGGACGCAAATCTGCTTGTATGTTGTGTGTAAAACGGAGACAACATAATATGTGAGATCGTGAAAGTAGTAGTATCGTATTGCTTCAATGGTTTATTATTGAATTAAAATTTAACACATCCTTTACATTGTTTTGATCTAGTCAATGTCAAAATTAATGGTTAATAGGCGTTCATACTATAATAGGTATAGCAAAACGACTTCAGACTTCTTTAGTTTTTTTAGTTTTAACTCTGAAATATATGTGTAGGTATACATTTTAAATTAAGAGAACGTCGCATCCGTGAGTGTCTCTCCGTCTTACACATATATACAACATGGTAAATTTTCGTTCATCAGTTTAAATAGTGTGCTTTTAGTTTTCATATTAGAGTGACTTATTATCAAACTTTTAGGTAAAAACATTACCTGTGTTCTCTCGTTGGTTTTTTCAATATTTTATTTTTTAAATGAGTTATGAGTATGAAAAACATAATTGTTTAAAAATGCTCATAACTCATTTAAAAAATAAAATATCGAAAAAAACCAACGAGAGAACACAGATAATGTTCTTAACTAAAAATTAAACTTTAGGTCAATTCACTCTAACATCAAAACTAAAAGCACTAAAATCGGTGAACGAAAATTTGCTATGTCGTACGTGTATAAGACAGAGACAATACACACATCAAAACTAATACATCAAAAAAGGATTAAGTCCGCGGTGGCATTAAAAAAATACTAGAATCTTTTGATAATAAATTTCAATATTTTATTTGGATTATTCATTTAAGTATTTATATTTTATTGAATTTATACAAAAAATTCAACATTTATGGTATTTTGGTTAAAAATAACAATAAAAATGTATTTTTAAATAACTCTTTGAAATCTTTGTGATAAAGAAAATAATTGGTCTACTCGTATTCATAGTTTTTTAAATATCAACTTTTCAAAAGACGGACTTTTAAATTATTTCTATAGTCTAAATATCTGTAATGAGTAAATATTAAACATTGATTATTTCATACATTTAACTTTTAAATTATTTTACTATTTGTTTTAATGTGTATAAGTATTTATATTAAATATTTTTTTTAACAGTATTTCATTTTAGCCGGGTGGGGACTAGTGTTCAGAACGATCATTAAAAACATTGAATTCGTTCACGTTCACTTTTTTAGACTTGAGAACAGGAGACAGCAATAGGCGGCTGCGAGCCAAATCCATATCGTGGAGTAGAAATAACTAACCTAACCAGCTGTAATGGGAGACATTTTTTTTTGTTTACCATTTTTTATGTACATAATTTGATAAAAAAAATCTTTTATTAGATACCAATGTGCAGCAAATAAATAATAATCATCTAATATATTAATATAATATGATATAATTTCATCAAATGAGTTATGTTTTTATACATATTATATTATTATTATTATACTATATTTATAAATAAAAACATCGTTTAAAACATTACAACCATTACACATGGCGTATAATTATAAATAAATATGATATGCTAATTTATTTATAGTTTGTAGATACATTCGCGATCTATTGGTGGTTTCCACCGGAACAAAAACAATATAAATCGGTATACCTAATGATTTTTTAGGTATTTTTTTAAATTTTAATATTTTTATTATGTGAATTATGCGCCATTAACTTTTCGTCCACACGTCACGTTTGAGTTTTAGCATTATAAATGACACTAGCGTGAAGACGAGTATCCAAGAAAAGATCGACATGAATCCCAGGTACACGGAAGGATGCTGGAGGCCCAGGCCTTTGGCGGTTAGCGATCGCAGACTTTCCGTGGACATTGTCAGCGGCATGTAGACGCTGATGCTGCGCAACAGGTAATGGATGCCCTCAGTGGGCCACATAAGTCCTGAAACAGGGTCCAATTAGAACGGACATTAGCGTTTGACAAGAGTTTAGTAGATAAGGTAGCCGAGTTAATTACAACAAATATCTAAAACCTGAGTTAATTTAATCAAATCTACGTTAATAACGTTAGAGAGAGAGAGATCAATATACATTGTACATTGAATGTAAGACATTCATTACTTAAAATACTATAATAGTTTTTGAATCATTTTTTTTTATTAACTCATTTTTAGTTTAATTTAATGAACTATTGATTTTTGAAAATATTTTCAACAATATCTATTCAAACGTACTTATAAAATATGTTTCTGAACTTTTAAAACCCTCTGTATTTATATATATCTGGTGATTCTAATATCAAAGAACACTCATTATCGTTTAATTTAAAAATAAAGTTTTTGAAAATATATTTCAAATGATGACGAAATAATGCATGAAAAAAAATATTTTTTTCGTGATCAAATTTTTAAGATTTTTTCTATTTTTTAGTGACAATATACCTACCTTTTTTACTTTTTGAACCAATTCAAAATATTTATTGGAATACTTTAAAATATTTAAATGAAATTGTAAACAAATAATTTATTAGTAACTAACATTTAAAACATAGATGATCGGAATAGTGTGGAAAAGAAGATTCTATTTTACAAAATGTTAACCCATTACTGTTAACTAAACTTTATATACTTATATCATATTAACTGCTTTCCTAAAATTAAATTTTTGTTAAACATTATTCCAAAATATACACTATTTTAAAATATTTTTATTTTTTTTTTGTCATTTATTTTTTTTGTTGCACAATCTGTGAAATATTTTTTTTTACAATAAGTATAAGGATAATAATAGTTAACAATATTTACAATGAGTATTTAATGAGACAGTAGTCATGATCGAAGAAGCCAACCAGTGTTGGGACTTCGGGTTTTTAAAATATGAAATTACAATTAATCTACGTTATTGACACGTAAAAAAAGTAAAAACATTAAAAAATGAAAACAGTAAAATGTTTTTTTCAAAAATGTTGTTATGTAACAACTTATGTTTGCGTAAAAAATATTTTTAAATACCAAAATAATTAGTCCTATTTAGGACTTTTACGTTAAATTTATCGTCTAGTTTATATAAATAATATGTTATCCACTGTAGATTAATGCAACTGGCTAGTTGCGCAGACGTCATAAACGATTACCTGCATTTTTATTTCTTGCCAAACCAAAATTTAATATGAAGTGTTATTCAGTAGTACTTTATATTTACTTACGGTAAATATGTATGATATGCACTCATATAATGCATAGAAAATGAAAAAAATATGTATATTTTGCAGTCAAAAAATATTTTGTTGTGTCTCGAAAAGTTTTGATTAATTGTAGATTTCAGGTCGTTGACGAATTCTACTTTTCCTCTTATTTTTTCATCATCCCTCCCTTCCCCTAATATATATTCTTTCACACTATATTTTATATTATTATATAATATTAAAATATGTCTTATAAGATTGTCGTGTGTTGTAGATATTTGCATTTTTATAAATAATAATTACCGCATAAAAATTTCAATAGGAAATTAGTTCCAATTCCCAGAAACGCCGCCTCCGTTGTCGTCTTACAGATAATGGCCGTGAAAAAACCTATAAACAAAAACAGCATTAAATATTATTATAACATCTAATCAACAAGTTATTCATTGCGCCGGTGACGTACCAAAACACATTCCACCGCATCCGATCATTGTTAATAGCAAAAATGATGGAAATATGTCGCCGACGAATGGGTTGTCGAATATAACGAACATGACCAGCATTACCAGGGTAGTTTGAATGAAGATAAATACCGTTTGTACCAATACTTGAGCCAAAGCAATTTCAATGAAGTTCATTCCTAAATAGTTAATGTTTGTCAATATTACAATAAGTAACTGTATATATCTAGGTGTAAAAAGCTCAAAATATTGATTAAAAAAAATGAGAAACGTAGCCCTCAACTACAGTTATCGACATTTAAATATAAAATATTTATTTACATTAATTACATAATTTACAAAAATGATTTAAAATAAAATAATTACATTTTTAAATTTATAATTTTATTTACAATTATTGAAGCAAATAGAATAGCTGCAAACAAACACGTAAAATCTCAGGAAAATAATGGTAATTGGTAAATATTATTATTATACATGCTATCGGGTCATATTATTCCTTAACACATTTTTTATGGAAAAAACAACAATTCTTGTCATTTGTTTTTTCATAATTCAGTGAACACTTAAATATAAGACAAAATAATTTCTTAATAATAATTCTTATTGGTTTGATTTTGAAATTAAAAAAAATCACAATATTTACTTATTACTAAGGCTCGGAAGTTGTAGGAGCTAAAAAAGGCAAAATATATATGCATGAAAAAACTATAAAATATGCATTAAAAATTATGTAAAATATGCAAAAAAATTATTCTGAATTCCAAAAAAAAATAAAAATACATCAAATCTTGTTAATAAATCAATAAAATAATAATATAGGTACATAAAAACTGTTTATAACTGATTTTTAATATGATTCAAAATAATTTTTCAGTATTTTTGAAATTATGATAAATACCTTCGTTGAAAATGTTGAGTTTTATATTTAATATTATTTGAAATATACTGGTTAAGAAAGAAAAAAATCAATTTTTTTTAGTTAAAATTGATAAAATATGCAAAATATGCATTTACAATTTTCAATTTTTTTAACTCTCTATTGTATAGTTCAGATTTCTAGCTTGATCTTCTATAAACTGAGAGAATACAGAACAATATGCAATTCCTACAACTTCCGAGCCCTACTTATTATGCTTGGAAAGGGGAAGGGTCTAATTGCATTAACGTCGTAATGGACATGTACTTTAGCCTCAGATCAGTATATATTATGGTAATAAATAATAATGCGAGAAAAACTATATGAAGCTACCAATCTGAGAACTTAAAATCGATTGTTCATCTGATATTGTATCCATAAAGCATACTCATTTGCAACATTTGCACACATAACGTAACGTAGAATTGTAACAGCAATATAAATGCGTGGACGTAAAGACGTAACATCGTTGCGCAACAAAGTTATCTCATGTTTTACGATCTGTCGAAAAATTCGACTAGCATCAAAAGATTGTTCCTTCGTAGGGAAACAAATAGTGCGTCTACGTTGCATTATGCGCAAATGTTACAAGTGTGTACGCAGCTATATTATTTAAAATGATACATTAACAACCAATCTGAGAGAATGTGAAATTAAGAATAAGGCAGCTGTGAATATCGAAATTATAATATACAGTAGGGTCTCGTTAATTTGAACACAGGCTAATCTGAAAGACGTAGTAATTTGAACGGGTTTGGAAATTGCCGCATTGTTATACTAATACATACGTGTATCATAATAATATGTAATATATGTACACATAGGCGGATATTTGATTGAATTTTATGGGGGCTTAAATCTTTCTTTGCATTGTTGAAAAATAGATATCTATTTAATATTTTGAAAAACTTTCAATGATTTTTGGGAGCTTTTAATTTGGGTGAGCTAAGCCTTCCCAAGCACCTGCAATCTCCGCTTATGTATATATGTATTAACTGGCTGTACAATATACATACCTAATTATAATGATTTTGATTGTTTTCATTGTGTTTCTCAACAACGAATTTTTATGAATTAATATAGTATAGAATAAAAATATAAAAATAATTTCAAAATTTAAGTTGCAAGAAAATTGATTTTTTTTTTAAGTCATAAGTAATCCGAATAATTCCTTTCCCAATGCCGTTCGGATTAACTAGATCCTACTGTATTATATTGACAACTTCACCGTCGAAACAGAGAAAATTCTATGAGGTTGGCTAAGCTTTAAAAAAAATTTAAGTTGAGTTGGTTAAAAAGAAGTTTACTGTGTTGATAAAAATTGTATTAGTTATTAATTATTAATTTGGTAAAAACGTAACATTGTATGAATTAACATACTTATTTGTTATTTACAGAAAATTATTTACTATTAACTTTTTTTTATATCTTTGAAATCTCGATAGGTATCTATACATCAACAATCAAAATTAGTTATATTGCTAGATATTTTAAACAGTTATTTAAAAATCAATCATTATTTTTAGTTATCTACACTAAAAGAATTAGATAAACGTATGATATTTTATTTAGTCATTTTAAACCAATTAATAATAGTGAAAAATCTCGTTAGACTTACGATAATATTATGAAATATAATAATATACTGCGATATAAACAACTTAAAAAATTAATCAGCTTTCTATCTCAAAAAAAAAAAAAACTAACAAAAAAATTAGGTTTTTTGACGTAAAATTATTGCTGTGCACAACTAAGGAAGTATTAGATTTTAGTAACTTTAATCTCAAGTTGTAAAAAAAAAAAATATGAAATTTGGCTTGGGTTTACTCAGCGATTTACTTCGCCTCCATCAATCAATCAACAACACCTATAATACAAATTTATAAATGAGTAAATAATACCTGATAAGACTACTCTCTCGATGACACCTCCTTCTTTTTCAGAAATAATCGTGGATCCTGTGTAGATTGCAGGGAGATAAAATGCACATCTTTAAAATAAAAAAATATAATTATTTATTATCATTATATTTCTTAAAGCAAATTATGTCTAGGTTAACAAATTATAGGCGTGCACAAGGTATCTAGCCATGTTTATCAAATATGTTTACAAGTTTATATTCAAATCTTTCTAAATGTTCAAAGAAAAATAATTTATTATAATTTATAACTTTTATATTATTATGAATTATGATTAATATGTATTTTATAGTAAATTCTCACCTATTAAAATAAATAGTGATTTAAATTATTTTTTCTATATATCTAGTACATATTTTATATAAAAAAGATAGTTTAACTATGTATTATTTAAACATTGTTTCAAAGAAAAAAATGTTTTATTTTTATTTATAAAAAAACTATAAACGCTATATAAATATTTATAGTGCAATGAGCTATTTATTTATTTATTTATTAAGTAAACGTCCGTAGGCTCAAGTATAGAAAAATTTATATAATTAATATGCTATAGATAGCCAAATATTATTTTTCTATATCATATTTATTTTTTAATATTTAAATTTAAAGTATTCACTATTAATATTGTACTCAGAATTTCTAATGTTAGAATAATTAATTAAATAGAATAGAAAAAGACTATTCAACGGCGTATTATATATATACTACGGCGTAGTAATTATTTTAAAATTAAATTATAAGCCTATTTAGTCTCATTACTGTAGAGTAGTCTGGCATTGTGCAATGGTTCAGAATGGGCTTGACTAGCTCATTTAAAATACAAAGTTGGATTGTTCAAGGGTAAAAAAGCACACACCTGCTGACCTTTGCGTGTACGCCTATGATTATACTTACAGTGCTATTATTGCAGGCGAAGCGTAATGTATAAAGCTTGGATTTTTGTTTCCGTAAACAGGGTCAAAGAACTACAAAAAAAAAAAAATATCCAATATAAAATATTCATTATTATAATAAATATCTAGGTAATACGTATGGTTATCGTTTATGATAATGACTGTTAGAACTTAACAGTTCATTGCATCCTCTGAAGTAATGACCACAAAGAACGGATATGCTGCGAGCAACCGTTAACGAACGTTAACGTACCAACGAAGAATCGTTGGGATAGAGTAAATTTTAAATAAAATGCATTTTATAATTGGTTTAGAATTAGGCATATACACTAAATTGAATATAAGTAATCGTAAAGAATGCGTACATTGATAATTAAAACAAAACAGCTAACAAACTCGATTAAATTTAAAATTATAGAATATTTTAAATGTTTTGTCTATTATGGTTAGATAGATTTTCATATTTTATGTTTTATTTTTTTATGTAAAAATGAATTAGCCATTTATTAATTGGCGAGGTGCCCACATTTTAGTTTGTGTGTATTAATGCACAGCGTACTAATTATTACATTATGAGGATAATAAAAAATAAACTTGTCAAGGCTAATGATATGTAAAACAAAAATAATATGTGTATATATTTTGGAAACTATATTATTGTTATGTGGCCTGCCCTCCAAAATTATCGAACAAATGGTAGCTTGGTATATAGTATACACCTGCACTTAACTACAACAATGTCGTCAACATTATCGATTACATCATATTTTATTTGTCCATCAGTGTGACTATAAAATTACACTGTCGTCGGTCGAATACCTGTTGATTTGTGCGGTGTATATTTCGATCTAATTTTTACACACTATTCGTAAACTGTTAGAAATCTTTGGAAAATATTACGAAATCAAAACTGTTTATTTCTAAGAGTTCACTCACCCGGATTGGTGAGTTTCCGATTCTTTCTGATATATTACATTTGCTGAAAAGACCATCAACCACATCTGTGTAGCTGTCGAAAATGTCTCTTTTAATCATGTCGTACATATACTTATCTGAAAAATAAAATGTGTAATTGATAGAATATTCTATATTTAAATGGTTTCGCCGTATAAGTGTTAATACCGAATGGAAAGGCGTTTAATCGATTTTGAAATTTTTTCGCGGGTACAAATACTACAATCCTTTATAGTGATGATAAAAAATAAAATTTATACGTCACATAATTTTATTCGGAATGAAAGTAAAAATATAATTAAACTATTAGTTTATCATTTTTGTTATTTTTTTTATGTTGTTTTTTGGTCCTATATTTAGTCGAAAATTCGAAAATCTGTTTTAATTTGAATAATGTATTATTACGAAATATACTTGATTACAAAACCTATTAAAAATAATTACGTTTTTTTATACATAGTTGTTCAAATTGGAAAAAAAATACAATTTGCCTATTCGTTAGTAGGTACTTGTTTATGTTTATATAACTGAAATATTTAATTTAAACTAATAAAATAAATAATAATTTGTACCGGTACTATACCATCGAAACTATTAACATTAGATATTAGTATTAAATTACTTTAATAATATAGACTATAGTTGAATTGAATGGCTATTACAGCATAATTATAACAAATTAATAGTTATAATTTACATTTGATTCTTTTGTGATACCAGCAGTATAATTTATACTAAACCCTTCCATCTTAAGATCACGCAATTTCATTTCTTAGTAACTCGTTTGGCGGCCACTGCCACAATCTTACGCATTCTTACTTGTATTGTCAATCCACGCTTGGATTGATCCCATGTCGAATATGTTGTCGTCGGATATATCTCCCCCATCATTAAAACGGGTTGCTAAATTAGTGCTGAAGTTTTTCGAAAAATGAAGAAATCCCCAGACCTTATTTTCTGACACTGCATACTGGCCGTCTTCCGCACTGGGATAGTCAACCTGCAATACGATAAAATATAATAAATGGGTCAACACTTATACATTTTACATCCAAATCGTTAAAGGCTTAATATTATGCTTTTATTTATTTATTCAAGTTAATAAAGATTCGAAATATTATGTCGTGTGTTCGAAGGTCCCATAAAGTGTTAAAAACCAAATGTATAGATACCAGCTATTATATTAATAATATATTGCGGCATTGAACTGTGATAATATGCGATTGTAATTTAGAGTGTTACTTTGCCCTTTACTGTGTCGATATTTTATTTTATCTCAAATATACGTGCACAGAATTTCTGTGACGCGCTATTGACATTTTTATTTGGTAAAATATGACTAATATTTATATATATTATTTTTTTGTTACAACGATACGTAACAAAAAAAATCGTAACGTTCATCAATAACAAAACGTCTCACATTGCTGCAATTTGATATGTACGATGTTTAAGTAATATTTAAACACTTAACAACGCGTTATAATAACAATAATAAAATATTAGTATGTGTGTTACCAGAAAAAAGTTTTAAAAAATACTATAAATTATTATTATCTATTTTATACTTAATTAGTTATTACATTTTAATTAGATATTTATTTAATTATTTGCCTAAATAAACATAGAGTTATAGAATAATAATAACTACCAGACAGGTGGCGACTTAGTAATGATGTTGTGAAATAAAGTATATGAAGAATTTCCCTTATAGATTTTGACCATTTATCAATTGCAGCGTGCCATTCTCGCAACTAATATAAATTATAATTCAAAAACTATACGCAAATAAAAATTATTTGTCTAAAATTTATGAAAACTCCTAAATAATAAAATACATCCTATAGGTCTATAATGGTCGCTATGTCTAAAAATGTTTCTAAAAAGTTATTTTTTATCAAAAAGCTCCACAGAATAATATGAAAAAATTAAAAATAATAAATTTTTAAATTAATTTAAAGTCTTGGAAAATTAAAAAAAATGTAATTACACTTAAAATAGTTTAAAAGTAAAATTCACAATTAAAAAAATAGACGAAATAAACATAGTGTTATTTTAAATCAAAACAATTGTTAGCAATAAATTAAACTATAAAATAATTTATCAAGTATGGACTAACTTTTAACTTCAAAATTAAAGCCCAGCATTAAATTCTAATTATATGGCCGTTTTCAGCATACTAAAGTAAACGGGTCAGAAAACAAAAATCCAAAATAAAATTGGTGTCAAAAAAAAAGTTAAATATAAAAATTTAGTATCATTAAGTAACTTTTAATATTTTTCCTCAATTTTTTAAGTGTTAAAAATTATTTTTCAATACATTTTTTTTTTTAACCTAGATTCTAATTTTTCAGTGAAAGACTAAAGATTTTTCCAATATTTAAACCTTAATAATATTTATTAATTTATTATTTTTCCTAACGATGAATTTTTGAATACTTGCAATTCGAATAAAGAACTTTTGGTTTACAAGTAATTCAAACAGACGATTTGCACTTCTTCTAAAGTAACATAAAGAGTGTTAAGCAAAAAATTTTTAAATGAAAAGCCCTGTTAACAGCAATGAAAAAAATTGTTTGTAAATATTACCAATTCGAAAGTCTTTTCTTTTAATCTTTCCAACACCAGACAACTGACTGGCACACCTCCGTCCAAAAAACAATTTTTCGTTTGCGTCAATGAACATGTACCCAATTTGTTTACAGACTCTTCGTTTAATATACCCAAAGTCAAATGTTTCGGATCATGGCCACAGGCGATATTGAATAATACTGTTTGTATCAGTGGTAAGAAGATCACAAACAAAGTAAACCTTTAAAAATAGTATATAACAAAAGATAACGGATAAAAAGTGTACGTCTTATAATAATATTTTAAAATGTTATAACAGGATGGTTCTTCAAGTATGCTCATCGCAAATTTCTTCAATGATAAGTTATTTAGATTCAAATTTAAAAAATTTTTAAATATGCTTTGAGACTTTATTTTTAAGTTCTTGAAGTTGATTGTATTATTGAGGATGAAGTATCTGCATGTATTGTCCAACTATCGCATAACATATCAAAATGAACGTCCAGAAATTGTAAACATTTAAAAGCTTAAACATTATTATGAATTGGCTTATTATAAAATTCAAAGGTAAGAACATTATCTATGTTTTTTTGACAATTTTTTACTATACTTAAATTTTTAACTAAATTACGAGCAATTTAAAATATTAATATCTTATACACTAATAACTCGCTTAAAAATTAAAATACCATAAAACATTAACGAGAGAACATCGATAATGATGTTACATATAAGTTTGATATAAGTCATTTCACTTTAATATTCAAGCTTAACTCAAAAAAACTGCTTAATGTGTATTTATTAGTATATTATGTATTAATAAGACGGCAAGAATACATGTGGATACGATGTCCTCATACGGAGTGCCCTGTGCAGATACAAACTTCTGTTTTTTTATGTGAAAATCGTTCTTTTTTTATAAATTATTTAGAGAATAATTATTCTGAAATTTTTACGTATTAAAAATAAATTTCGATCTAGTGATTTGAGTTATTTGTTTTTGTTTTTTAGTTTTGCGTACTAAAGTTAATAGTTCTGAAGTGTCAACTATTGTTATTAATTTATTAAAATTTATAATTTGTAAAAATAGTCCAATTAGTATGATAATTATTACTAGATCTAATATTAAATTAATTTTATGTATTTGTAAAACAGTTGTTAAAGACTATTATCTTTAATATAAACATTTGAATTACTCAGAAATTATTCACTTCAATTTTAACTTAAGTGCATACAAGTTTACAAAAACGTATTCACTAATTAATAATTTATTGTAAAAACGAGAGTTTATCATTTTAAAAACAGAAGTTTTTATCATTACGGGACAATCATAAGATTCTTAAATAGTACAAAATAATACTATAAATTGGTGTTTTAAATAACCTAATTTGAATGAATTCATTCATGCATGTTCGATGAATCTGTCTATGTCTACATATATTAATAATTTAGTATTATGATATTGTACTCACGGTATGTTTCTTCTCAACAGGTAAATGTTTTTACACACCTGAGCTTTGAAACGACCAACCGTAAATAATGTGTTGTTTAACAACGGTGGTGGCGGCAAATCTCGGGCATAAGAAAACCTTCTTGTAGGCTGTGGAATAAACACGAAATATTTAATCGTCACAATCGCATAATTTTTTTATCATAGGTAGAAATTTCTAATAATTATTATTATACCTAAGTGGCTGAATATTAAAATATAAAGTGTTTAGGGAAAATGTTTAAATAAACTAAAGCTTAAAAAATAATAATATTATATATGTAGTATATATTATGTGCATCACTAGTCATAGACGTTATATAATATTTACTAGTTAAATTTATTTGATATATATATATTGAAAATTATGTAATATATGTAGTTCTACAATTGGTTTTAATTTAAAGGGTTAGGAATTGTATATAAAAAAAAAATGCTTTGACACGTGAAAATAAAACAAGCAAGTGATGATAGTATTTAAGTATGAAATGTTAACTATTATTCCCATATGGCCATATTTATTTATCACATAGGGAAAATTGTTATATTTATTATTTATTTAGAAAAATAAACAAAATTGCTCTTTACTTGTTTCACTGGTATTTTGAAACTGTTTGTCTTAGCCACTTGATTTTGGCAAATCTTCAAAAACGCTTCCTCCAAATAAGAACAATTGCATGAAGTCAAAAGTTCTGTTGGCGTTGCTTCGGAAAGAAGAGTACCTTTCCTCATTAAGCCGATCTATAAACAAATATTTGTTAATTTATCATATTTCATTATATTTATTGATAAAAAAAAAGTTGATTAAATCTTGTCTCACCATTTGTGACTGTTTTGCTTCTTCGATGTAGTGAGTAGTGATTATCACAGTTTTACCTTCATTCGATGTCAAATTTAATAAAAGTTCCCAAATGCTAGAAATTAAAATTTTATCCAATGCAGGTAAAATAAGTACATATTATATTTATTTTCACTTAACTTTTATTGTATAATAAACAAATATAATTTAAAACACTAAAAAGTCAGTAACTCTAATTTATGAGTGTATAGTATGAATTTTTAAATTTTTAATACAAAATAATAATATGAATAATGATCTCCTTTTTACTATGATTTACACATTTAATGTTTTTAAACATTGGTTATTTATTTTGAGTTTATATGCATTTAATAAAATATCACTGTCTTTTTAATTAATCGATACTTGAATAAATATAGTAGTTTACATAATTTAATAACATACCTATATTATATTATATAATGATTTCTATGTCATATATAATATGTGATGTATTAGCCTATGGGCGTAACTAGGATTAAATATTTTAAGGGATAGAACCCTATATAAAACTCAAGTTTAAAAAAAAAATCCGAAAATTAAAGTATCATGAGCTACATTATCAGCTTCACTAGATTTTAGTAAACAAAGGGATTATAAGGAGTCCTGTTAAGTGTAAAATCGAAATTGTAAATACCTCAGTGATAAAGTGTCTATTCTTGTCATAAAAAAATAAAATGTATGCAATAAAATAAGTATAATATATATTTTATAATACGTTTATATTTAGATGCAAATGTTTATAAAATATCATTATTGATAATCTTAGCCTTTTATCCATATTTATCATGATACGATCACTTAATCTGTTTTGAGTTATAGTCGACCTTATGCATGTTTTGGTTATTTTTATACATACATTCGTATATCCACAGTATTAATATACTATAAGATACATTTATAAAGTTATTGAATATTTTACATTTTGAACTTATGACAATTTCTTTTATGCTGAGTAGGGTTTTAACCAGAAGGATTTAAAAAGAAAAAAAGTTGATGTGTATTACCTATGTTTAATGTACCTTAGGTAAACACTATACCTACACTATACAGTGTGTATTTGAAAAAAAAAAGAATATATAGTTTTGATACTTATGTTAATTTAACTATGTAATTTTATTAAACAGATTTAATTACCTCTGGCTTATCAGAGGATCCAAGCCAACTGTAGGTTCGTCTAAAATCAGCAGTTTTGGGTCGTGGAGCATTGCTACTGCAAGGGACACTCTTCTTTGTTGTCCACCACTTTATGAAATCAAATTCATCATAGCATTGTTATATTATAGGTACTGGAGTTATAATGATTAGTTGGTAACAGTTAACAATAATTGTGAACGACATTTGTCGACTTTTTTACTTACCTAATCTCGTTTAGACTCAGACTATATGATGGCAATTTCAAGAGCTCCTTTAGTTCTCGGCCTCTTGTTTCGATAACTTCATTTGATAAATTAAATATGTAACCATAGTACGTAAACGTTTCTTTTATAGACAATTCATTGTGCAGTGCTAATTCCTTTAGAAATATAGACAAAGGTGTGTAATATTAAAAAAACGAAAGAAAAAATATTCAAAAATAATATTTGGTAAGATAATTTGACGGCATTACTTGTGGCATATATCCAATGTCAGATATGTGTTTGCCTTTAAGTTTTATCTCTCCGGAATCTAAATGTAAACGACCGACGATACAACTCAATAGAGTTGTTTTTCCACATCCGCTAGGTCCCAATAGCCCATATCTGAAAATTAACAACAATTACAAATTACATTTATATTTAAATAAATGGTTTTTTTTCACATGTCATGATAAATTCCAAATTCCATAATATATGATATAACTATGATATAGATGCAATTCATCAATATTTATTTTGTGTAAAACTACAGTAGCTTTATTAGTTTTGTTTTTGTCTTACATTGCATAAAACTAAAAATTTAATTGGATACGTTTAGAGTAGTAAATAAATCAATTAATATGACATTTATGAATAATTAATTTAAAAAGATGGATTATATTACCCAACATAATAAAATTATCGTATATTCATGTTATGTCATCATAATTTCATATTTTCTTTGATCAGCTTTGTCAATGATTATTTTTATTTGTCTCAAAATAATCGTCTACAATGATTCTTTTTAAATTAAGATATAGTTATTGACTAGTGTTTTATAATATTAAATACAATTATTATATCATTGACTTTGGTAAATTTCAACTGTATGAAAAATATTGTTAACTGATTTTGATAATATTTTTATATCCGATTTTCAAATCACGTTGACAGTAAAACTAGAACATATATAAAAACCCCAGTAGAGAATTTTCTTATTCAGTGGTTATAGTCATCAAAACACCTACAAAAGTTATTATATGATATCTTGTAATTAGAAAAATAATTAATAACAAACCGAATAAACTGATTATAAATAATTATAATTATGATTGCTTTAAAATTATTAGTGTTGTATAAATATTTATTAATTAATGTGGTTAACAATTGAAATGAGCACGGTTCTTTTTTAATTTATTTTAAACATAATATGGAATTTTATAATTCTATGAAATAATAGGTAAACCACTTAGTACTAGTACCATAATATTCACACGAGCTTGAAAAAGTTAATGAAAAATACGAGTATTAATACAAATTTTAATTGTATACTTATCAAATATTTGAATTTTTTAGAATATTATATAATATATAAATATGATATATGTTACAGTAATAAGTTGGACAATTTTAAACATTCAACTAGGAAGTATTAATCTGAGCGCAACAAACACGTGAAAAAGAGAAAATAAATTGAAAAGTTTAATACTAATAAAGAGTCATAAAGTTTGACGAGATTGTTTGTATCACTATAAAAAGAATTCTTACTATTCTATATAATACTTAATAGAGTTTAATCTCGTTTTTGTTTTTTGCAAACATTTATCTATCTTATGTCAACTGTTTACACAGCTACTATAACTATCTTAATTTCTAGATATCGGATAAAATATATGAAAACATCTATGCATTTTTTAAAGATATTTACTTGAAGACGACTTTTTGAATTTTTAGAAATTGAACTCTTATCCCTTTCAAAATTATATCTTTGAATTTTTAATATTATTAATTTTAAAATTTGAATAAATTCATTTTTAAAGTGTAAGAAAGTCGTTTTTAAGCGGCTCTTACGAAGAATTTAATCATGTTTTCAGATATTTTATCTGATAAATAGAGTAATTTAATACAAATGATAATAGATAAATAAATAATAATAATAATAATTTTATTTACGAATAAATAATCGTATACTGCATTATTTACATGCGCGTACACGTGCGGGAGCGCTCTAATGTCTTATATGTTTTACACACAGTTACACACATTAATGGTCACCAAAGACACTAACTAAACATACATTTGCACGATCTGCAAGAACATACTTAGAAAATTGCCTATATGAACTCCTTAAAAACGGTCCGCATTGAATCCCCTCAATAATTTTTTATCAAAGATGTTATTTTATCACATTATAATAATATTAATTGTATTTAAATTGCAACTTGTCAGAGGCTTTTTGGTAATAATAAAAAAAAAAACCGAAATAACCCAATACAAAATAAACGCTGTCATTTAGCTTTTTTAAAATATTTTATACAATATAATCTGTCGACTGTAACACAACTGATGAAAACTATAATATTAACATACACACCTCTTTCCTGATAGGAAGAAAGGCAAAATGGATTTCAAATACAGCTACTTATATTTTTTTTAAACTTATTTCTATATAATTATCGAAGTAATAGGTATAGTATAATAGTAACACGAAAGAAAAAAAGGAACAATGAGCACTCCTCTTTTGAGCATAGTTTTGTATCTATCTATTAATAGTTTATATTTTCTGCTCGTGTTGTATTATAAATTTACAATTTTTATACAATTTAGTTATAAGATGTTCAATATTATTATGTATGTATAAAAAAATGCGCTATGTAAGTAATAAATATATTAGGCAATAAATATTTTTATCTAATACTTTATTATAATAAAATATACTATACTACCTATTGATTGTTTTCAAAGTTCGTACCATGGTAGTGGTGGTGCTAGAAGGCTTTAGGCGAATAAGCCTAGTTATTGCTATAACTTGTTAAAAATACTATTATTGTACGAGGCCGTGCTAGGTTAAGTCCAAGTCATAATATAAAAATATTTGTATTAGTTAGTATTGGACTTTTACCTTTTTTTTGAGGTATCAGTCTACTCAGAGGAAACGGGGCTTCGACCCATATTTTAATAGCTATAGTATGATATCTCATCGTGTCGTATCATCGGTAAGACTTTAGGAAACCAAACTATAGATATATTAACTAAAAAGGTAATATTTTAAGGATTTTATTATAATACTATAATATTTATAATATTAATTTTGGTTAATGTGCATGTTTGTAATCATAAGTGGCTTGTAGTTTTTACAATTTTTAAAATGATTTATGAAAATTACGTTATAAAAAAATCTTTTGAGCTTTTAATTTATGTAGAATATTTGCCTCGTCGAAAAATGAAAGGCATTGATACCATTTTAATAATTTATAATACATTGATAAACCTATTTAATATAAATGTATAAAACATGTTCAAGCACGAATAGCTCGCTTAATCTGGTCAGAAGGTCTGCCATGAATCTCTATTCATATTTTTGATAATTTATTCTAATACGATTGTTGTTAGATAGTATTTCTTTAGAAAAAATCTTCTACGTTTTTGATTGAAATCTTCCACAAGTTCAAAAATGTACAAGTTAAAACATTTTTTAATAAAAATTAACAAATATTCGTAAATTGGTGTCAATTTGTCTCGACTATATTCGTTAGGAATTTTTTCTCATTATCTACTATACATTGGTCACGTGTACTCGTATCTGATCTCCAGAAATAAAATTTCTTCAATTTTACTTCAAATCTCAACATTAGACAACTTTTAATTGAGTTCATATAACAAATTCTACAGAAAATAACAAATAGATTTTCGCTAAATAGAATTAATACGTTAAAACGACCTAATTAAAATTACCATATGTGTATTTTCTAAAACATCGAATCATTCAAATTGATATTATAATATTATTTGATCACCGTTATTGATTTATTAGGTAGTCATATAAAATCATAGTCACGAGTGAAGTTATAATCGATTTTAAAATGAATACTTTAAAACGTTGTACCATTGTGCATTATAAAAATAAACATACCGCACTTGAAACACTATTTTATAGTAAAATTACAGCAAACATTTTATGTTCACTCGGAACACGCATCATTAAAAAAAAAAAAAAAAATCAGTTGAATTAACCCTTACTCGGCGATATTCGAGATCGCCATGACCACGAATACAAATTGGCTATTCAGGTAATAACACAGATGCACAGTACATGACCACTGAACGCGTTTTCATAGCCAAATGTGTTAAGTGAGTAAATTAAAAAAATAATATTTTGAGTTAGTTTAGTCAACGTTTATAAAAGTCTTAAAAACGGTGTATTTAAACAATAAATCAATGAAACTTGTAAGGTGAAAAAATGCTTAGTTTTGTGCATCCATGTGCAAGAATATATATAAGAACGTATATAATATAGTGTTGCGCAACTTTTAATCGAAATCGCACATTATTCGTTCTTATTGCACGGATACTATATAGCTGTAGCTAGCGCATTGACCGGTTGAATTACACGTTTGTGTTGATTGAATTATTAAATCGAGGAATACCTATGTTTAATAGTATTCGAGTTATCGAGTTTAAAAAAGATGAAAAACGAACGAACTAGTTTGGATGAAACTTCAAAAATTGCCTTTCTACCTAAGCTAAGGTCTGATTAAAAAATATTGATATTGCCTAGCGAACGCTCCTTATGTAGGTACTAAAGACGTGCTTCCAACACGCAGTTCAGGTTTCGTCGGTGTGCGGTCCACGTCTCGCCTTTCGCGCCGGTCACGTGCGTATCTACGGTACCCGCGTATAGGTACTTACATTTTTCCGGTCGGTATGGTCAGGTTCAAGTCTTTGAGTATGGCCGTCTGACCGTACTGTTTGTACGCGCTCCTCACGACTACCGCCGACGAGGGGCGGGCCACGACCGTCTGCTGGTTTTCGGCCGGGGTCTCGTCGCGCGTCACCACCGACGCGGTCATTTTAGTCGCGATGTCGTGCGCGAACAGAGTTCAAAGGTTTCACACACGTATGGTGGCGGGGGACGGGGCACGAAACTTCGGGAAGAATGTAAGCAAGCGCAGCGTAACACCGTCGTTTCCGCAAACCGACTGTATACAATACGTTGTGCAATACTATTGCGGTGCGGTGTGTTGTTATTTAATTATTATTGCTGGCGTTTGACGGTGCAGAGACGACGATACGACAATCGTATCGGCGGCCGAAACGTATTGGTATAACAACGCGACAATAATTATTTACAATTTTATTATATGGACTGCGCGAACGCAAAAACGGTAATGACGCGAATGATCGACTGATGCGCGCAGGACATCGTGTCACTATAGTTGTCGCGCACTGCGGTAATTTGCAGTCGTCGTCGGCACTTTGGGCGACGGCCGACCGTGGCGCGCGAAATCGGCATGCCCCCTCGCGTTAAGTTTTTTTTTTCCATACGTCACGATTGTTGTACCAATACTCATACCCAGCACACAGACACACAATTCGATCATTATATTATTATTATGTGCGAGTGTTGTGTACACGATATCCTGCGCCACGTACTGGCCAGGACGTGATCGAAATAGGTAGTACACATCAATGGTTGTTGTGTGTGCACTTATAAATCGCCACACGAAAAATGTGTGTTTGGCGTTTGCGAATTTTTTATTCGTTCCAATCGACGCGATGCGTAACGCGTACCCATACCTACCTGTTTATCGTACATAATATTATATATGAAATTATGTACAACGTTGCGTAGGCATATCGTAACACGGGTGTATTAGCTGGTGTACATGTAAGCAAATACAGAACTGGAAAAAATGTCAAATGATTCGATTTTCAAAATTTAAATTCGAAATCCACAGAACCAATGGTTTTCAAAATAAGTAATTTATTTAAGTTTATGTTTCTTATAAATCAGTCAAATATATACATATAAGGATGTAACTATTTAAAATGTAATAGATACCTTTATACTGTATATAATTCCTAATATAATTTTATAACAAAAATTCAGAAAACATTATTTTAAGAATCCAAAATTCACGATTTTGGTTTTAAAAATTGTTTAATTTTTAATCATATGAATAAGTAAGGCAGAGGACCAAAGTATATTTTAAGATATTCGGTTAAATTATTACGTGTATAACTTACTCAGCTAAATCCATTTCAAACTTCTTGCCCACTTTTCCCGACTTATTATATAGTTTCTTTTTGCTTCCGACCTCCTCGATAAACTATGGTTTAAGCTTAAAACGAATCACTACGCCATTGTATATCAATATTAAACTACTCAATTTCCATCTATAAATACTTATGTACTTTTAAAATATTAAATCTTATTAGATAGTCGAATGCTACTACTGAGTAGCTACTCATCTCAAGCATTCATAGCCTATAAGTATATTTTACTTTGTTGCGCTCATATACTTATTGTAAATTATTTTTAAAGGTTGTATGTTTATTTATTAAATGTTAAAAAAAAATCTTGTTAGATATTAACATTACGAATTTTTACACCAATTCTATTTTATTAAATATTTTTTTTAGCTATTACATAACTATATATCAGACACTGTGGATAATTACAATTAAAGCTATTAAATAACTTATGATTTAAATATAGTTTTCCTTATATTTTGAAAATTGTGTAAAGCCCATATTATAGGTATCATTAAAAAAAAAAATTAAACGCATTTTGTTTGTTTTTAAGTGATTTTATTTAAAAATAAAACGAATCATATATATATGCAATGGTAAGTATACTACAAATGAAGACCAACATTGAAAATAATATAATAATCTATAAACGAATCATTATTAATTAATTAATTGTTTAAAGAAAGATTATTATACTTATCATTTATTTAACCTACAAAGGCAATTGATTAATACAAACTAGCTACGGTATACTAAACCGAATTGCGAGTATAGCAATATAATAATATTATGGTTTAGTAAACCCAATTATAGCAATATAATATTATTATGGCACATGTTATGTACGAATATGCAGTTGTTAATATTAAGTGTTAAAGGTTAGAAAACATTGTTTCTGCCAACAAGTACATAATAATTTATACTACTAACCTATCTCCACTACTGCTGTCTCGACTTCGACATAACTGATAAACGTGCTACGTCGTCAATAATGAATTATATTATGTGTAAACGTGTACAGCGCCCACTATAATATGTTTATATATTATACAACACGGTAATAGATAAACGTTTTTCTCAGTGACGTAGTGAAATTGAAATTTTGCAGTCTAATATTTCAGATATGAAATAGTTTTCAACATTTTTTGCTTATAGTCGTTTAAAAATGTCGACTTATTTTACTTGTATTTCGATTCATATTTATTACAATTTTTTTCTCGGTCAACAATCTCTACAATTTTATAATACAAAATACAACATGTTATAACTTTAAAAGAGTTTTGCGTAAAGCCATATAACTTTTTTTAAATTTGATAACATTAGATAAAATTATAATAATGAGTTTTCCTCAACCAATTAGTGTTATTTTGTAATAACTAATTATTCAAAAATCATTAGCTAAGGAAACCTGAAACATTTTACTGTTATTACAATTATTATTTTCTAAACACAATAAAAAGTTTAAAAAAATATTAGACCCACATTAAGCTTATTATAGTATCAACCTATTCACGTGATTGTATCGCGGTAACTTTGTAGTATTGACATAATAATTATAATGCAATATTTTTGTCAACAATTTGTTTATTATTTGCCGTATTTATTTAACAATATAAATAAATTATAAAATATCTTTAAAAATAGAAGCTGATACACACCGCACCGTCGCCACTGAGAATTTTATTTCGTTTTTCGAATACAATGAATAAATGTCATTCATAGCAAAAAGTGACCTACTCAATGGCGAGTTATAATCTGTAACTTATGCTGTTTAATAGAATGAATTTCCGTTGTTTTCTTATGTAACCATATACTTGTGTTTTTACTGATAACAAAAATGAGAAAAATTTTGAGTACACAATTTACACCAAACAAATTAAAAGGAAACTCGCCGAAATATTATTTTGCTAACCTATTGTCATTTATACTATAGGTGTTCAATTCGTGTTTACATTGAGTTTTATTATGTAAACTATTTGATGACATTGGTGTTTTGATTATATTTACAGCAGTGGTGGCGCACAAAAAATATTATTCGATATGCATTATGTAGACGTATTTATTTTCTAATATACTTCGATCAACTAATGTATTTTTTTGTATGGCATTTTCCCATCTAACAGTTTTGATATTTAATGAATATGTTATGTAAGCGAACTATTTATTTTTATTTCTATCGTTTCTCTTAGCGATTCTCTCAATATGTTGTATTGTTCACACTGTATAGATACCTACATTACACAGATGCTTTATACATTTTAAAATCATGGACAAACATATCAAATTTGTTGAATAAAGTGTTAAATATGAACACTTAAATTTAATTAGTGAATAGAAAAAGTACATGACGTTTTTAATTATTAAAAATAAATGTTACGAATTGGTAATTTTATTCTAAAATCATTCGTATAATATTATAATGAGTATTATTGCTTGAATCGATATATTGATAGACTTCGAATGGTATAGTTGAAATAAATCTATTTTATTTATTAAAATTTTTTCCAGTTATTTTAGTTTTGGTCCAATTAATATTGATATTTAATCTAAGAAATAGATGACTTATATACTAAAAACAGTATCTAGTTAATATTGTGAGTCTTGATTTACAACTAACGATAAACGCTTAATTAAAAAATAAATATATTGAATGAATATTTTTAAAACGTATGAATTCTTATTCATTAGGCTATATTATTTTGTTCGTCTAAAAAAAATAAAAATGACAGTCCGGCTTTTGTTACCTTAAAATGGAAGTAAACATTTAGGATGGAAAAGTTTAGTTGTATGTTAAAAAAAAAAAATATTTCTCAAAAATTAAACCAATGTATACAGGCATAATTAAAAAAAAAACCTTTAATCATATATTGTTTTTATATTTTTTTAATTAAGTTCAGTTCATTAACATAAGTTTTGATTTTAATTTTAATGAGCTAATCTTAAACGATTTGTACGAGAAACATAATTTTTTATCAAATTACACCAGAAGTATAACAAGTTATTATAGGTACCTCACACTTATTATTATTAACTCACAGGCCACATAAATTAGCTGTTTTATGTTATTATCAGAAGTTATTTTTATTTTTTTAGTCGACATAAAATTATAATAACATATTATCGCTATAGGTGAAGTGTTAACCACTTGCTCAGATGATCGTTGATGATATTTTTTATATTTATTTAACTAACCATTTAACAATATTTGAATAATATGTCACATCTATATAATAAATATATTTTGATAGAAATATGAGCAGCTTAAAAAAATTAAAAATAATTTAAAAACAATGCATACATTTGAATATTACTAATAGCTTTTAGGGAATTCTCATTTTTTTTTTTTTTTTTTTGAAAAAAAACTTTAAAATGTGATTTAGGGTTCCTCTTAAATTATTTGTATAATAATTTAAAAATATCAAAATACATGGCCTTTTTATAAGCGTGATTATACCACGTGATCATTGTAATTTATTATATACGTGTCAAGTGTTTTATATGTGATTATAATAAAAAATAAATAGGCAATTAAATACTAATTAGTAATTACTAATTAGTAGTATCTAAGTAATATAAAATAAAATAAAGTTTTTTTGTGTAAATCTGTTGGTTTATTAATCTGTGTTATCTCTAGACGATGATAAATAATAAATTATGTTATTTTTTTAAAACTATTTGGCATTTGTCCCATAATAATATCTAATAAAGTAAAATGTTTTAAACTATAGGAGTATAATATTTTAAATGTATATATTGAAATATTTTTTCGAAAAGCATATTTTGAGGACTTTTGTGCGTAAAAACTGAAAAAGCTGTATGATTTTAATTTTGAATACGAAATTTCATTAAAATGTTTGCTATTTTTCATTAAAGAGGTTTTTCAACTGAAATATTAACTAACAAAAATATTTTATTTGTATTTTGTTTGTTGTATTATTTACATTATCAGTTTTTAGAATATTATAAATCACTTTGATTAAAATTAATCTAAATCCGTCTAGCTTATGATATCACAGTAGCTTGAAAAATGTTACTACATTATAATACCCGAGAATTTACATAATTTAGATATCAACCGTATATAAATATTTCTTTATTTTGCATAATACGGGTAACTGACACGTGTGACTGTATGGCTGGAACTACATCGATAAAAAATAATTTTCATTGACTTTT